GAGAACAGCAAAAAAAACACTACCAGATACACAAACTAAAAACGTGACACAACACAATAATCATGACATTTTGATATTCATGTTTTACTATCTTTGCTTTTAAAGGTGGGGTAGGGAAGTTTGAGAAACCGGCTCGAGATACACTTTTTGTTGGAATGCTCTTAACATCCCGATAGCAATGAATATCTTAAAGGTCACATGTCATGCTTTTCCGGTTATTACCCGTCCCCTTGTGTGTTANGTATTTTACAAATTTCCACAACCTGAAAGTTGATGTTACCTCCGCAGAAAACAAGCTTTTTCCCCTTCCGATATAGAAATGCTGCTTGATTCATCATGCGGTTACAATCGAGGGTCCGAACGTTCTATTCCTCCGCTTCACAATTCCCCATCGGGTGGTTTTGTTATGAGCACGTGAAGAGCCTTGTCAAGGAAGAGTGTTTTAACTCTGGACGGTGCCCTAATCTCTCAGCTCCAAATAATATGTTCTTCAATTTCTTCCAAAGCAGGTTTGTTGGGCTATAAGACATTGCAGTCTTAACCCTCTTCTAAAATAGGATTTTCAGCAGCACCTAATGGTACAGAGTTTTCACCACTGCATGATCTAACATACCTGACCTGTCATTCAAATAAGATCGATTTGGCCTATAGCGAAAGCCTTCCAAGAAAACTAAAGAAACTACAAAGTGCTAGACCTTGTTAAATTGAACCACTACTTTGAAGCGTACGGGGTAACACTTAATTTAAATTTCACACAAATCTTCCTGCTTCTTAGGGTGCTGAATATGAGTCATAAACTCCATTTCCATTCTACACCAAAACAGATGTTACAGCCGTTCATTAAAAGAAAACTCAGTTTACAATAAATCTTCCTGGGGACCCTTGGAAAGGAAAAACAATCTTCTCATTACGAGAGCATTTTACTAATCTTATTAATTTGGCAATTTTTTAGACATATCTAGCAACCACATTTAAACGCTCCAGACATTTTATGAATATTTGCCGCGTACCTCAATTACTACGCATAGGTCAACAACTTGCTTACCTGATTTTAAATTGGACAGACCAAGTTTTTCCATCAACTCAGATTTTTTGACTGAGCTTCAAATTCTCTACCTAATTGTGACAGTTATAAAACTCAAACGTAACCCATACTTTGATTTCCTTTGACCTGAGTCATAATGGACATTTTTTCCACTTGGGAACAGTGGATTTGTAAATGGAGCAAAAAAGCTTACAGCCCTTAGCCTAAGCTACAACAGGAACTGACTATTATCAATCAATCCACCTTCCCATTGAGGGCCCTGAAATCTCGTTTTCACACTTCGTTCTTGCAAGGCAACCCGTTCCAATGTTACCTGCGATGCACTTGATTTCATTATTTGGATGGCAAACAAGTAATGTCAAGGATTCCTAGAACTATACACTGAATGCTGAAATGTGACACACCAGCACCAAACACAAAGATATAGCTTTGATCATATTTGACAGGTAGGGAGCTGTATAGTAATGACAGTCAGGCCCCTTCGTATTTACATTACCACAAGTTCATTAATTTTGTTTTTTTGTTTGTCGGCAACAGCTCTCCCCACTTTTTTTTACTGCGGATGCTTCCACGTTGATTGCACTATATGAAAGCTAAGCATAAAAGGATAACAGAGCCTGTTAACTTCACCAGGTGCCCCATTTATGGATGTCTTACGTGTGACTTTCTACGACAGCCACAGATACCACATTGCTCACTGAATGTCGGTGCATGAGGAATCTGCCGAGTGGAAACTGGAAGAGGAAGGAGAGAAGCATCTTCCTCTGTTTTCTTTGAGGAGAGGGATTTGCGACCCCGGCGACCCTGGTACAATAACCATCACTCAGAGCCATCCGTAGTACAGCTCGCAAGACCCTGTCGGGTTTGGACGGAGGGCTACGTTAAGACCGGCGGTTTTTTTCAATACTGGCAATGTATCTGGCCCACAACAGACCTGTCTGCATGCAGAACCTGGATGCTGATTTGCTGCCCCCTGATGCTGGCGCAGCCCGTCCTGCCAGCACTCTCACCTTCGCTGCGGCTGAGGGAGGAGGCCCTCTGCTGAGAAAAGGTGTTGTGAGTGGCCGAGAATCAGCTGCCTGCTGAGCCTTGCGTTTGGGCAAAACCTGAGGAATGTGGCAGAGTGGACAACAAGCTTGAATGTACAACAAGAAATATTTTCAAAAACTTCACCGCAAGTGAGCCAAGGACTGCCGGACAGATCTGTCATAAATGGGACAATTATATGGGAATATGTTCAACTGTTGCTCTGATAACATGGCTCCTTCTCACAACATTGTTGACACCTCCTGCGGAACTCAAAATGAAGACAAATAAATTACCCTCGATATATGTTAACTCTGTTATTTAAAATAGATACTTCATTCCTTGCTATTACCCTGTTAATATAAATATTTTGTGCCTGGGTTCTGATACCTGGGTCTCTATTTTCTAACTTAAACAAATATGTTTCTAAGATCAACCATAAAAAAGGGCAAAAATGTTACCACATTTATTCCTCTTTTAGCGTTATTGCGTCATTGGTCTAGTCTCCGGAGACAAAAACCTCAGAAACTCAAAACAAAAATTGCGTTGAATGTGCTAAACCAAAACTCTCAGCAATGTATGAATTGTCTAAATTCACATTTGGACAAGTTGGTCTTGATACCGTTATACTATGGATGCATATTGATTTACAAACAATATGTAAATATAAGCAGATCAACATTATAGCTACCTGCAGGTCCTCATCGTACACTTTCCTTGGTTTGTCAACTTTGTTTGTCCGCAAGTGTCGGCCCGCTTGAAACTTCTCTCATGCATGTTAGGCTGCTAATAGTGCCTTTATGCAAGGTTAACCTAAACGAGTAAACCCATTGTCTCATTCATCACTTGTGTAACTACATTTTTATTCGGCTCTTGTGGCCAGCAACTAACACATGTAGCCTAGACGCCTTCTTTAATGACAGAGAAACCCGATGGGTGATTTCATTCCCCTAATCTGCCATGTAGGTCGGCTCGCAGTGTTTCCTCAATACATTCACGCACGCTGACTGATTTAAAATAAACTTCAGGCCACTCATGGATAGGTTTGGTACTTTGAAAAATCCCAGTTTGGGATCAATTAAAGTATTATCTTTATCTTTAAACAGCAAATATTCCTACTTAAATTAAACCCGTCAGTTATAATGCGTTTGGTATCTAGTTTGTGCCCCATCATTCAAAATGTAATGCTTGCTGTGGGAAATTTTTGCATGTTAAACTTATGATAAATATGTAAGCTATGCTTGTTAGAAATATTCAAATTTCAAACTCCCCAGTTGAACCCCTTTTCGGCTGGTTTGGTCATGTTTGTGCCCAGAAGAATGCTTGGCACTCTTTGGGGTAAATGCTTAAAATGTCCACCCGCCAAGCATGTCCATCCTGTTAGGCACATCAGTTTTTTTCTTTTAAACAAATCAGAGCTCCAGCATGTTCTTTACGGCCAGTCAGACGTGTATTGCTGCATAAGCCCCAACGGTAAAATGGCCCAAAAATTTCCTGAATTATTTAAGTCATTCTTTAAAAAGGCTTAAATTAAACAATACGTAAGTTATTGTTATTTTTTGATTTATATGCTGCTGCTTTTTGTTACATTTCCGTGCAGAGAGGGACAGAAAGACATTAGTGTTACATAATTAAAAGCGCTTATTTAAGATTGCATTTTAAATCACCTAATGGTACCAATGGGTGTGCCTGTCACTGCCATGAGATAACAGAACTGAATAGCAGCCAGAAAAAACAAAAAAATCACAAATCATCATAGATACATTAGCATTAGAACATTATAAGTAAACGTAGTAACAACTTTAACTGTCAAACTAAAATGCAAATAATAATATGCGTACAGGTGTAGACTTGATTTTATATTAAGGAAAAGTGTACTCATCTTTTTTTACTTTTTTTACTTTAACCATAGGTGTTGATACAAAGCTGCGAGCTGGACAGAAGGCCTATTTCATCTGTGTAAGGAGTTCAGCGTCTTTATGTTCTTATTCAGACCAAAACAGCAAAGCCGACAATTCATCTTTGTCTTCCATTTATCAAACCCACGGTGGCCGAAAAAGCAGTGCTGCCAATTGTGCTGCATAGGTAGACATGATTTAAAATTGCATACTTCATGTCTTGCCCTAATTACCCTGTTTAAATAAATATTTGTGCCTGTCTGTTACCTGGTTCTCTATCTAACTTAAACAAATATGTTCTAAAGATCAACCATAAAAAAGGGGGCAAAAATGTTTACGCGTTATCCTCTTTTTAGGTTACTGCGTCATTGGCTCTAGCCTCCAGAAGAAAAAAACACAGAAACTCAAAACAAAAATTGCTGAGATTTGTGCTTAACCAAAACTCTCACAATGTATGATTTGTAAATTCACATTGGACGGTTTGTCTGATTACCGTGTATACTTATGGATGACATATTGATTTTTTAAACAATATGCTAAGTAATAGCCCAGATAACATAGTCTACCTGCCCAGCGTCCTTTCATACTGTATACACTTCCTGCGTTTTCACTTGCTTTGTCCGCAAGGTGTTCGCTCGCGTTGCATAACTCTCTGCATGCATGTTAGGCTTAATAGCTTGCGCTTTATGCCAAGGTTAAACCTAAACGATTAAACCAACATTGTCTCATTCATCACTTGTTTAACTACATTTTATTCGCTTTGTGGAAGAATTAACACCTGCATGCTATGACGCCTTCCTTAATGACAGGAGAAACCCGATGGATGATTTCATTCCCCTAATCTGATGTAGGTGGTCGCAGTGTTTCCTCAAATATATTCACGCACGTGACTGATTTAAAATAAACTTTCAGCCTATGGATAGGTTTGGTACTTTTGTTTGTTAAATACAAATCCTATTAGTAAAAAGAAGGTTTAAGAGACAGTGGACGTGACGTCAGAAGATGTTTTGCATACTGCGCAGTATTTATAGTGGGATTGACGCTACAGCCATCACTACGCTCCTGCGCCACCCAGACGAGTATCTAACTGTCTCTCTGACTGAAACTAAGGTGAGTGTTCATGTTCATATTCTTATATTCACGTTGTCTTTAAAGCCTCTTTCTCTTTTAGCCTGTCTATTGAATGATTTTGTCAACGTTGTTTTGATTATATTACGTTTCTCCTTCTCCCACAATGTCCTATCTCATTATCAGACAGCGTTACACTCGCGTATATGTTCAAAGCTCCAGGAAATAATCAGAACATTCAAAACTCTTTCCCTTTTTCCACAAAACGGCACAAAATGACATGTAATCAAGTCTATGGATCCAAACAAATGCTACATGCTTTGTTTCAGTAACCTATGATCTGATTGGCTTACCACTTTTAACCTGAGATTCAGTGCATGCTCAGCCTTTTGGAGTGAGTTATATTGTTCACTGGGGTCTGCTATAGTTGATGCAGTCTGCTCCTCTAGATTGCATTAAAGGGCGGGGTCCCATCGTCTGCCCGTGTGGACTAACTGACACAAAGCCTGTCTCAAGTCTGGCGCTGATAAAACAGCACATGCAGTGTCTGCATCAGCCCTAGATGTTACTTATAGTTGAATTATTTAAATTACCCTACACGTTGTTAATTGTGACCTTAATCATCTGTTCACATGCCCAGGTGCGTTCTGATTTAAACTCTATTGAAGCAAAGCTGATCTAAGGTTTCTTATCTGTTTTTAGAGCCTCTGCAGATATGGCTGACAAAGCGGATGTGTCAGGAGTAACAACCTTCGACAAGACCAAGCTGAAGAAGACGGAGACCGCTGAGAAAAACACCCTGCCAACCAAAGAAAGTATGTGCAGTACCTTAAGATCTACAACATGAATTGCTACGGTCAAAAACCCTTTGTACTAATCACACAAACTATTTGTATCCCTCTTGCAGCCATCGATCAGGAGAAGTCAACATAATGAAGACTAGTCCTCCTGTACATTTCACAAGCCTTGCCTTTTTTCTGTTCAATAAATGGGTAGATGTCCCTCTGTACAGCAAGGAAGCGTGGCCTGGCGTCGGCATGGGTTCCTGATCATCTGTTGTGGATAAGTGTCATGAAACAACTGAGGGACCTACACTTTCTGATTTGTAACCCTTGTCTGCCCACTTGTAAATGCTCTTGAAGCAAGCTGTGTGTTTTTTGGTAACAAAATCTGGATGCACATGTTTGTTAAATATGCAAAATAAAAAATGTTAACTGACTTTGCTGTGTCCTTGTGGTTTTAATTGTGTGTTTAGTACCACTGCACCCTTAACCATAAATGCCACTTTAGAGCAACACTTTGGTCACAAACGCAACACAAAATGAATATGGCTTTTTCCGCTTAACAGCATTGGAGTAAATTGAAGGTGTTTCTTCTGTCTGTAGCTGCTAGCATAACTGGCATGCTCCCTTTTTTTCAAATCATGCTTTCAAAGCAAAGACTGTCAGTGTTAAAAGTGATACTTATCTGGGCTCTGCTGCTTTAGCATGATATTGAGGAAAAACCCTGATTTCCTTTACATGAAAGGAACAGGATTCAGAATGCAAGATGTCCAACTTGTAAAGTGTACAGTTCATCCTAATGGAACTGTTTCACAATACAGTAAACTCTTTGGCTCACATCCTGTAATGACTAGTTGAAAAAATCTTACAATGTACTACTTTGAAACTTCAACACCTAAATTCCACTCTAGAGGAAAACCCATCCTTTGTTTATGAATTTCAATCGAACTTTAAATGGGAGCAGCCTAGGAGTAATCATTTTACCTTAGGATACTTCCAACATTCCTGCCTTGCAGCTGTTCCAACCTGAGCAGGACCACACCCTCTTTCTGTTATCACAAATGACCGCTACTAACTTTAAGGCTGTGTTGCAAGATGCCCTGAGGTCATGAGTGCTTGAAAAGACAGGAGTGCTATTATAGGGTGAGCCAATGAATTTATTGAGTACATGATGAACATTTAGCTTCAGATAACAAAATACAGAAACCCAAACTATTAAATGTAAAACGAGGTACATTCTTTGACTAGATTGCAACACATTTCCCCAACTAGGACTTTGATCAATTCATACTGAATTCATACTTTAGCAGAAGGAGTTGATGTAACAAAACCCCTGGTGACTGCACTGTTTAGAGGATCTGACCAAGACAAAACCTGAATGTACAATCTATTTAAAGAAGAAAAGAGGAAGACAACCTGTTCTACCTCATTCTGCTGCACAGGGACGACAGCTGTACCTCATGTGGGGGGGAGAGAGATTACGTAACGCGTGTCTATCGACCAGCTGTGCTGAAACAATAACAATAGGCTCTGCGGAGGGATTGGCACAAGTTCAAATTCATCCTCTTTCCCATGAGGCTGCATTTATTCTATGGTAATTTTTAGTATGGGAAAAAGGGACAGTTTATTTGTCTATTATTCCTTTTTAGAAGCAATACAAGGTCAAATATATACTCATACATATATCTTATGCCAGCCCTCCTCCTCTAAATGTTCTCCCATCCTAATATGAAGTCTTGCCACCCAACAGCTCCCCAGTGTCCTATAACAATGTGTCCCTTGGAGCAAACCACATATTACACATGAAAATACATTGCTTTCTCCTCCACACATTGTTAAACTGATAAATGATATATGTATGTAGCCTCAGACCGATTTACGAGAAGAGAAGATGAAACGATCAAACATATTTTCTGTTGTATGTATATGTGGGGTTGCCCTGTTTTTACTGATGCTGGTTATGTGGGTCTGCCTGGTCAAGACCTGATAACTTTCCATGAAAAAGGGATACAAATGTCAATGAAAGGACACTAAGGGCTTATTGTGGTGAACTTGGCATTAGGCCACCAAGAGGCCATCTGGCAGTGTTGTGACGGGCACCCTCTGGACCGTCTGTGGCGCTAACTGACTGCAGCCCACTCCTGAGACTGCCTCTGGCTACATGCGTAATGTGCTTTGAGAATAAAACCACAGTAAGAATCTTTAAGGCTTGTAGCAACAGCCACGTTGTATAGTTATTTTAACCTCAAATTAACCTCATTTATCTATGATGAGTCAAGCTGGATGTTACAGCTTTAACATTTACCATTTACTCACAAAAGGACCATTTGTGTATCAATAACTCACCCCGTGTTTAGTATTCTGTGGGACAAAGATTTTTTTTGCATGTCTTTATGTTCAACGAAAAACCATAACACAAGATTGTTCTTGCTTAAGAGTTGAAAAACGGTAAGGTTTAAGCTAACATTCTAATTTGGGAATTAGTGAGCAAACGCCTAAGTGATGAGCCTTGGCACTGCTGTTTTGTGAGAGTCTTTTCTCCTTCTTTGGACACCTCACTGTGGAGGCGAGAAAAACAAAGCTTTCTTCGAGAATTCAAGGTAACACAGGATGAGTCATTGTTAAACAAATGGTCATTTTGTGGGCAAAATATTCCCTTAACGCAAATAAAGTGTATACCAACCTGTGTCTCATTTTCTAAACCAAAACAATTCACATCAAAAATGATATTATAAAGCATCCCTTGATAATTCCCTGACATTGTCTTCATTTAACAGGAAAGGCTACAGGGGATAAAACAATGCTCATCCCTACAGGTTATTGTTTTCATATGCAGAGGATGTGGCAGCTGCTGTAGTACGGTGAGAGTACAGTGAGACGCATCTTTGTGTCTCTGCTCCTTCCTCATGCTTCTTGTGCCCTGTTGCCATGGCAGCAGACAGGAGATTTTAGCTTTCCACACGTTTTCCCATGATCAAAGAGACTGCAGTGTTGTTAAGAGCTGTAAATCGATTCAAATAAGCAAGCAATCACTCCCTAGGAATCACATTATCAGAGTAAGTAGAAGGGATTTCAGAAATTCCACTTTTGTTTTACGACTTCCTCCTAAGCAATAGATTCTGTTTTTCTAATTCTTCACAATTTTTTATTCTTTATTTCTGTTTTTATATGATATAATTGTTCCTAATTATGTGCAATGCCTTGTTTTGTTATGCTGCTGTATCAATAAATCCCAATTTGGGATCAATAAAGTATATATCTTATCTTACAGAAATATTCCTACTTAAATTAAACCCGTCAGTTATAATGGTTTTATCTAGTTGTGCTATCATTCAAAATGTAATGTTGCTGTGGGAAACATATTGAATGTTCAACTTAGATACATTTGTAAGCCATGTTGTTAGAAATAATCAAATTCAACTCCCCAGTGAACCTCCTTTTCGGCTGGTTTGGTCATGTTTGTGCCCAGAAGAATGCTTGGCACTCTTTGGGTAAATGTTAAACATGTCTACCCGCCCAAGCATGTCCATCCTGATTAGGCACATCAGTTTTTTGTAAATAAATCAGAGCTCCAGCATGTTCTTTACAGCCAGTCAGATGTGTATTGTTGCCCAAGGTAAAATGGCCAAACAATTCCTGAATTATTTAAGTCATTCTTTAAGAAAAGGCTTACATTAGTGTTAATAATTAAAAGGCTTATTTAAGATTCCATTTTAAATCATCCTAATGGTACCAATGGGTGTGGCTGTCACTGCCATATAATAATAGAACTGAATAGCAGCAGCAGAAAAAAAGAAAAAAAAAAAAATCATCATAGATACATTAGCGATTAGAACATTATAAGTAAACTATAACATGTTTAACTGTCAAACTAAAATGAAATAATAATATGGTACAGGTGTAGATTGATTTATATAAGAAAAGTTTAGTCAGTCTTTACTTTAACCATAGGTGTGATAAAAAGCTGGAGCTGGGACAAAAATGGCCATTCATCTGTGTAAGGAGGTTCAGCGTCTTTATGTTCTTATTCAGACCAAACCAAGCAAAGGACAATTCATCTTTGTCTTCATTATCAAACCCACGGTGGGAAAAAGCAGTGCTGCTATTGTGTGATAGGTAGACACAAAAGCTGAGGGTGTGAGCCGGCCAATCCAGTGACACACCATAATGGTTGCTATGTGTGACAAAGAAACTTCCATAAACGTGCCTTGCCCTATTCTTCAGATTTGAAGTGGCAGAGGGGGGATAATCCACCTATCTGGCTGACAAACTGATCGTTTAGCAGACACGCACATATTTTGTTCTGTGTGCAGAATCTCTAAAAGCTAAGGTGCAATTTGAAACCGCATTAGAGTAAATACAAAAGCAGAGTAAATAAATTGCCTGACTAGTTTCTTATTCTCTGACGGCAGTAAACCTATATGTAGAGTAATGAACAGCAAACCACAAATTAGTAGAGAATGCTGTCGTTTCTGGTGTCAGTCTTACCGAATTACAGCAAGGGTGGCGGCCAAAAGGGCTTGGGGTCATTATGTGAAGACCAAAAAAGACTCCCTAACCGGATAGAAGCTTATAAAGCAAAAGTTGGATGCATCAAAAATGGGAATGGGAAATGTGAAAACCCCAGTTAAAAAATTTAAAGGCACTAGGAAGATGGAGTCCTATAAAAAGATGGAGCCCCATAAAAAGAATAGAATCAGAAATGGCAAAAACAAAATAATGTTAATTGTCCACAAAAAATTATTAAAACCAAGAGGTATCTCCATCACATTACAGACAATCAGCTTCTCCCAGATATGTAATGGTGAAAATTACTGACTTATTAACAGTCTTGAAAACCATGAAAATGCATGTAAAGGACCAACAAAGAGCACTAAAAAAGAGGAAGGCCTTGAAATGTACACTAAGCTACAGGCAAGTAAGTAGCCTGGATTTAGAGAGAAAACACAACTCTTTCTTACTCATAAATGAAAAGCCATAAGCCATTTAAAGTGTTCACTACACTGTCACCTATGTGACTCCTGAAATAAATGGAAAACATGGCTCAATTATTACATCATAACTTCTTATTTTAAACATGTCAAGAGAAGAGCTACCTCAACAACACAGCTGTGAAGTGGAATACAGTTAATCAAGGATGTGACAAGGGTTACACGGTCAGATTCCCCTAAGGAACCCAATTAGAGGAAGAAAGACTACTTTAGCTTGCTGGACATTTTTAAATCTGACTAGCTAGGCAGATGTGCCCTGAGTGCACTGACGGAGACGCAGTGTAGTGTGATTCAATGTGACATGTGCATGCAACCTTTCAGCTGCAAGAGTCACCCTGGTGAGCTCAGTAGCTCCCCAGCTGTGAGCCTGGCAACCTAAATGCCCCCTTTCAGCAACAATGTCCTCATGTACGCGCAGTTTATGTGCAGGGAGAATTCACGTGTTA